TGACGGCTGGAGCCAGGCCTCAGACACTGGCCTGGTAGGCATGGAGACATGCCGTTCTTGCCTTGGGAGTGAGGGCTCCCACAGATGCAAGTGAGATGCTACCTCTGTTCCTGGACTCCCACCTTCCCAGCCTACGTAGAGCTCTCTGCCTCCTAAGAGCAGGGAAGGGACCCCTGGGAACAGTTGCTGCAGGAGGGCTCCCCGTGGCTGGAGAGTCAAGAAAGCACAGGGCTCAGGCTAGGGCTTTGGACGTACACAGGTCTGCCTTCTAACCTTGGCTTAGACATTGGGCAAGTCCCGAGACTGTCTCCTCATTTATGAAATAGGAACTAATTATGGTACCAGGTATGCTGTGACAGTTAATGAAGGCAGTATATGTACATTGCCTAGCACAGTGCTTGGAATATATTAACTCCTCAAGAAATGCATGTTGACCCCCACACCCCTAAAAGGCTAAGTGGGCAATGGGCCCTTTGCTCTTTGCAGGTAACTCAAAAATTCAGAGTTCAGAGACGTCCATCCTGGAGACTGAGTCCCTGAGATGGTTTTCTCGTTTCAAAAAGTCCAGCCCGATTCCACGGTGCCTCTGTGAACAATATCTGCTTTCGGCTGAAATTCCAGCGGTTCTCTGGGCCTCGCTGACCCTGTTCTGGCCACCCTTAGATTAATAACAAACAGGGCTCATGAGTTATCCCTTTAAAAGTACAGTTCCTGCGGGAGATACAAATCTTTCCAAATAGGCTGAGGCAGAAGGAGGAAGACAACTCGTAAGGGGGTGTTCTCTGAGGGAAGCCGTAGAGACCAGGACAGCTGGTTCCTCGGGACTGAGACTGCCCTTGTGGAGACCCAGTGCGGGACCATGGTGTGGGTGGTGCCAGGCCCTGCAGGCTTGGGGTGAGCTGTGGCTGTTGGCAGGAGGCCCAGACCACCCACCAGAAAAAGGCCCCGGGGCTGAGTGTCCTCAGGCCCTAGTGGGGGAAGCCTTGACCCACAGCCTTGGGGGCATAATTTGGGGACAAGTGTTGATGGGAATGTCTGAACTCCCTCATTCCTTAAGTTCCCAACCCAGGCCGGCTCCAGGGCCATACCCTCCCCGGGCCCCCATTCCCCGGGGCTGCAGACATCTGCCCTCGCCAGACCCATCTTCCCAGCTGCTCGCTCTACTAAGCTGCCTGTACGATATGTGCCTGTGACCAAGACACTGTGTCCCTTCCATCAGGGCTGCAAACAGAACTTCCTGAAATCTGGGGGGGCCAGGTGGCAAGGGGAACGCGACTGGTTTTCCAGAGGGGAGAGAGTGGAGGGTCCCCAGCCGGGAGGCACAGGCACAGCACAGTCTGCAGGGCTCAGACTTGGAGACCTCTAAACTCGGGTCCTGCTGGTTGTGAAAGTCATAGGCAGTCCATGCTGGGAGTCCATGCCCCTCACAGTCAATGGGAGGACGGGAAAGTTTTCCAGGGGAAGAATGGGACTTGCCCAAGGCCACACAGCGTGGACAGCACAGCAGGGATAGCAGTTCGTTGCTCCTGTTGGGCCAGCTCCTGCTCCAGCACACGCCTCCCTGTGGGCACCACCCCCAGGACATGTAATCCTTATCCTGTGCACCCCCCACCCCACACAGTGTCCATGGCTGCTGGACAGCTGCAGATGGGCCCACATGCACTCTCAGTGCAGGTGTGGTGGAGAGAGCTTTGGGATACACAGGCAAATGGCCTGCCTACCCTGCCCCAGTGCCCTGGTCCTTCCTGGCAGTCCATCCCAAATGAACCCAGAGTCTCCACTCTACTTGGACCCTGGGGCTGGATTAGCAGCAAGAGAATGAGTGTGGCCCCATCGCTGCCATGACAATGTTGCTCCTTCTTTTAGGCCACAGTTATCTCATCCAGAAAATGGGAGTGAGGACTCGGAGAATTTCCAGCGGGCAGTACCTAGTATAGTGTCTCACCCGGAAATATGCCAGCCTGCCCTCCCCTGTGAGCTCCCCCGCCCCTTTTTTTCTTTTATCCTCACCTGAGGACATGTTTATTGATTTTAGAAAGAGAGGAGGGAAGAGAGAAACATCAGTATGAGAGAGAAGCATCGATTGGTTGCCTCTCATTGCTCCGACGGGGGATTGAACTCACAACCTTTTGGCATTCTAACCAACTGAGCCACCTGGCCAGAGCAAATCTCTCCCTCTTGGATGAAGCCTGCACCAAGCAGAAGTAGGACAAATTACTTTGTGTGCAAAACTATTCCTTCCAAATTCTGATGGTGACCTTCAGGGAATCCCTGCCCTTTGACCTGCTGCCTATTCTAGCCCAGGTAGGGAACAGGGTCAAGTCGGGTTGGGGAGTGCAACAGGGCGCCTGGCTGGGGCAGTTGGTGGGGGCAGTGCAATGGAATGGGAAGGCCGAGCAGCCAGGCCAGCCATGAGGGGTAGAGGTGAAGGTTCAGGGCTCAGACTAGGGGGCTATTTTTACTCTGCTTAATTTCTCTTGCCAGTTGGGTGGAGCTAACCTGGGGTTGCTCAGGTTACTTGGGCCAGGCCTCTGCATTTCACAGGAGCCCTGCATGCCCAGCTCAGCTGGAGCTGAGGGCAGGGAAAAAGGGAAACAAGTTCGGCACAGCTCCCTGCTCTCACCCTGCCAAGCTGGGCTGCCACCCCCTGCCCTGTCGTCATCCAGAGAGGGATCCTGTCTCCTGCTCTGTTTAATTCTTCTATTATGTTTCCCAGACTCGAAGCCTCTGGTTCCCTATTGTCCCGAGCAGGCACTTTGCATTTGTGTAAAGATTAGACACGTTAGAACCTTCGCTCTCACTCCCAATGCTCTTTCCCTTTTCCTTTCTCAAATGCGAGTTCTTTCTTTCTGGCCACGCTCTGCTTCCTTGTTTTCTCTCTCTCTCTCTCTCTCTCTCTCTCTCTCTCTCTCTCTCTCTCTCTCTCTCTCTCTCTCCCTCCCTCCCTCCCTCCCTCCCTCCCTCCCTCCTGCTTGTTTTCTTCCAATCCTGACTCCTCCTCCCCACGATCTGCATTTGCTTCTTTCTTCTCTTCATGGTTCAGTGGTTTAAAGTCTCTATCCACCTCCTACCCCTATCCCAAGCTTGCTTGATTCTGTATTTATATTCTCTCAGAAGCTAATAGAAATGACTGTGAGTATTGCTCACCTCATTCCAGAAATACTCTTCTAAATTCTTCGAGAGGCACCTCGTGGGGGTGAGCACCACCTGGGGAGTCACTGATTTGCCCGGGAGACAGAGATCGGAGTTCCAAAGCCAGCTTTGCATCTACCCGCTGTGTGACCTCAGCCAGGCTCCGCTTCCTCCGCTTCCTCCGGGGCCGCAGTGGAGCTGGGAGCCAGGTGAGAGCAGCTGCCTCCTGGGTAGTGATGAGGGAAAAGGAAAGTGTTCTGAGCACACAGTAGGTGCCCAGGAATATTTGTTCCTGCTTTGCCTGCAGCCTGGCCCAGTCTGGGGGAAGCCTGGCCCAGCCAGGGCAATAAAGATAAGGCTGAAAGATCTCTCCCTTCGTCCTACCAGAATCTTCCTCTGCTCTACTAGGATTGCATGCACAAGTGTATACACACACACACACACACACACACGAGCACACATGCAAGCTCTGAACACACTCTGTGAAAAAGCAGGAGTTTCTCTGTGGTCATCTATGCCCCCTTCATAAATGTCTAATGACAAAATTGCTGCTGAATTGGGATCCGATTTCTCCAGCTCAAAGCCAGGCATTTATTCTTTCACTGCCCCGCCTCCTTCCCAGTGCACGCACTCGGAGGGCTCCTACTGTGTGCCAGGCAGGCTCCAGGCCCTGCCTTCTCTGGAGTTCTGGACCTCGAGATTGCTGGGGAGATAAGCACTATCTGATGACTCAGGCTCCAGAGCCTGGGCTCCTGGATTTCCCAGAAACGAAGAGCCTTTCCTGCCTAGCCTGGACACAGGGTCCCTGGGAAGATGTTGAAAGAGGTGGACCCTGAGCCCAGCCTGGGCAGGAACAGAGGGCAACTGCCAAGTCCACAAACTGTGTGGCTCAACAGGAGTGCACCGGCTCTGGTCTCCATACCGCTCAGCTCAGGAGCCAGCAGAGGGGCAGCAGCAGAATGCTCGCCCTCAGGGAGCACCCCACCTCCTGGCCTTTATTTGCAGGAAGTAGCCACTGAGAACCACAAAGACCTTTTGAGGGGCGCTTTGTGTGGGCCCCCAGAGCATCTTCCTGGAAAGGACTCTGAAGCCCCCCTTAGTCTCCATGGAGCCCATGAGCCAACACATCGAGATTCCCCCATTTCAGCTTTGTTTTGCAAACAAGGAAACTGAGGTGCAGGATGGGTATCCTTAGCCACGGCTGCACAGCTGAAAAGGTTCTGGGAGGGACCAAGATTCCTGTCCTGGGCTTTGGGGTGGGAGGAGGGGAGAGGAGCGCTTCCTGAATGAGGGAACGATGAGGCAGCTCCAGGCTGGTCAGAGGTCAGAGGTCGGAGGTAGGCTGTGTCCTTCACCGAGGGAAGCAGGTCCAGAGAGGGCTCTGACTTGCCCAGGGCCACACAGCCATAACAGGCCTTCACCTCCTGCACCACAGAAGGGGCACCCTCAGCTCGGCTGGCAGCAGGCAGGCAGGACAGCAGGGTCTTTCCAAGGAGAGGGCAGGTTTTTCTCTTGCTCCCCTTTCAAACACTTAGCTGGGGCAAGACCTGGGAGCAGCCGCCGGGAGAGTGGGGGAGGGGCTCTGGGGCACTTGGGGGGTGGATATGAGGAAGTTCTAGGGACTGGAAGGAGTCCCTGGGGGTTGCAGGGGAGCCTCCGCACTCCAAGCTCAGAGGGAGGAGCTGGGCCTTCCCTCCTGCCTCCTCCCTCCCCTGTCCGCCCCCCCCCCCCCCCCAGTGAAGGTTGGGCAGGGCCTGCCGCCCCAGGAGGAGGCGTTGTCCCTGGCTCTGGGCCCTCCACCCGCCCGCCGCTGGTGCAGTGGCAGGGCTGGACCGCAGGGGCGGGGAAGTGCCTAGCAGTTATAAGCAGCCAGGGCACGGAGGCAATGAGCTATCGGCTTGGCTCCGCTTGGCAGCAGGACGCAGGCAACAGGCTCACTCCCTGCTCCCTGCTCCAGTCCAGCCTGCGCTCCGCTGCTATGGTTGCCATGCCCACTGCCTGGTGCTCCGTCGCTCTGGCCCTGCTCGTGGCCCTGCACGAAGGTGAGCCATCCGGCCTCGCCTGCTGCAGCAGCCCCGGGTTTGTTCAGCAGTGTCTCTGCCCGGGGACTGTGTGCCCCACAAGCCAGCTGGGGCACACAGGGTGGGAGCCCGGCAGCCGCGGCAGGGCCAGCAGGCCGGGGCTCTGCCAGTGCAGAGGTGCTGCGGCACAGGGAGGCCACAGGGCGGCTGCTGAGGCTTCCCCGGGCTGGGCTGGAGCTCCTGAGCAGTGAGAGCGCCAACTTCCTCGATTATGCAGGAGGAGGAGCCTGGCAGGTCCCCCTATTCCAGCTGTGCCAGGCGTCCTGACCCACCTCTCTCTCCCTTCTGTGCGTGCAGGCAAGGGCCAGGCCGCTGCCACCCAGGAGCAGCCGGTGCACCCGCGCCATGCCCGAGGCGCCCACCTGCGGCCTCGGCGTTGCTCCTGCAGCTCCTGGCTCGACAAGGAGTGCGTCTACTTCTGCCACCTGGACATCATCTGGGTGAACACTCCCGGGTGAGCTACCGTGGGGATCCGGGCGGGCCGCTAGGAGCGGGGGGATGGGGGCCGCTGGCACGCTGGGAAACGGGCACAACACGGCTCTCCCTGGCCTCCAGAAGGGAGGCCTGGGCCAGTGTCAATCATTAGCAGTAATTGTCTCACTCCCATGGGGAGGCTGCCTGAGCAATACAGAGGGATGTCTCAGGAGAGTTCTCAGGACACCCAGCAAGGAAGGGCTGGCCTCCTTCTCCAGATCAGGGTACTGAGGCTCAGAGAGGTTAGGTGCCGTCTGCAAGCTCACACAGGAAGGAGAAGGTGGCAGGTGGAAGCTCCATCCGAGGTCCAGTGGATGCCAGAACTCACACCCACTCGGCCATGCTGCCTCGGCAGGATCTTCCAAGAATAATAATACAATTAATGACAGCGCCCATGTCTGGACTGTGCCGGGCCCTGTGCCAAGCAGGGCTCGTGCATGATCATCTCATGAATGTCCCCTCCCCACACACACACACACACACACTCCTTCCAATCCTTCCCTGAGGCAGGCACCGCTGTTGTCCCCAAATGACAGATGAGAAACCTGCCCTTTGTCACCTGGTGGAGCCAGGGTGGGGGCCCGTGCTGTCTGCTCTGTCTGCACCCGCACTGCCTCCGGGCCACTGCATACTTCACGTTGAAGTTTCTGTGTGCATTGGTTGTTTTTTTCCCTTCCCCAAATTGCAAAAGACAAGAGAAGCCCGGCACGTAAGCGTGTGGAGCTAATCCACATCCAAACACTCGCTCAGGGTGGGAACCCTGCCAGTCCCTGCCTGCCGGGTCTACCTGGAGTCCTTACAGCCTCAGACACCAGCTAAAATTAGCTCCGGCACCCGAAGGTGCCGGTCCAACCGGCCACAGGGCCCCTGCCCTGCCCTCGACCCACCTCGGCTAGACTCTGCTCTGAAATCAACCCCATCGGATCTCACACACATGGGCATGCACATAGACACACATGCATGCACACACACACACACTTGCACCGTTTTTAAGTCAAAACTCTAGGACATACACGTCACTTCTCTAGGCAAGTGGGGACCAGCTGGGGGCCGCTTGGCTGTGAGCCTGCGTGTTTACTTATGAGATGGTATTTCCTCCCCTCTTCTGGGGGCGAGCGGTGGGCCCCTTTGAGAATAAGGGACAGCCTGGTTCCATCAGCTCACGTTCCTGTCTGGGCGGGGGCTGGGAGGACTCCTGGGGGAGGCAGAGTCCCAGAGAAGGGAAGTGTGCAGGGTGTTGGGTCTTGCGTCTTGTCAGGGCTCCCTGGCACCCAGGGGGGAGCCTGTGGTGGGACTTCTTGAGGTTAGCGGCTGGTCACCTTTTGCTGCCAGCGTGGCCATCCCAGAGTACAGGGAAGACGGTCCCCGTGCTTGTCAATGGGAGTGATTTATCTAATCCTCCCTCTCTTCCTCTCCCTCCCTCTCTCCCTCTTTCCCTCTACATCACTACCTTACTGGCTGCCTGCCCACAGACAGACAGTTCCTTACGGCCTGGGAAACCCGCCAAAACGCCGGCGCCGCTCTCTGCCAGGGCGCTGTGAATGCTCCAGTGCCAGAGACCCTGCCTGTGCCACCTTCTGCCATCGAAGGCCCTGGTAAGTGGGCACCCAGCTGCAGGGGTCAGGGGCAGCTGCCCGCCCAGACCTGCCCTAGGACAGCAAGGTGTCTGGGAGACCAGCGAGAGAGCAGAGGGGCAAATGGGGGGAGAGGGGAGAGGAGCAGTCTGCCCTGGGCCCATGATAGTGTCCCTTCCCACAGGGGACCAGTCACCCGGAGTCCCTCCCACTGCCCACTCCCGGGCAGGGGGATTCTCCCAGGTAACAGCGGAGGCCTCAGAGGCTGGTCCTGTCAGTCCACACGGCCGGTCAGAGGGAGCGTTGGAGTCAGGCCTGAGGCTCGGGGGACTCAGAGCTTTCTCAGTGGAGGAGTATCATCTGGAATTGGGAGACCCTGTCACCGTCTCAGGGTCATCACCAAGTCACTGGAGGTGGGGGCAGGGAGGGCTTTGCAAATCCCGGAGCTCTTTGGGCCTCAGTTGTCCCATCTGTAAAAGGGTGGGAAGCTTCGTTCTTCCCCTCCTCCACTGAGAGCGTTTGGGGAAAGCAGGAATTGGCCTCGCAGTCCCAGCCTCCATGCCCACGGTGGTTTATGAGAAAACGCCTCCTCCCCTGACACTCAAGCTGTCACTCTGCTCTGCCTTGGTTTCTCCCGAAAAGGGCCCCCTCTCAGCTGTAGGTGGCCAGATTCTGAGAAGGCCAGTCACCCCACTGCTCCTCTCTGAAGCAAGGAACACATTCCCCGTGGCTCAGCTTTCCCCACCCCGCCTGGGGAGGAAGGGTGCCAGGTGCACGGGGTGGAAATGGATCTGCTCCTGAGGGCAGGTGGGGATAGGGTGGGGCCGGGCTGGGCCCGCAGCCAGCCGGCCGTGGGGCCCTGGATAGCCCCTCACTTGGGCTCTCGTGCTGTTCCTTCAGGCCTGAAGCCGTGGCAAACCCAGGCCTCGGGTCCCCTGCAGACGTGTCCCAGGCTGGCAAGACATGGACCACTGCAGGAGAGCTCCTCCAGCGGCTGAGGTAAAGGCCACTGCGCTGACCCAGTGCCTCCTGCATGCCCGGCATGTTTCCTCACGTTTCTCTTGTTCTCTATAAGAGGCAGGACTGCGTCCTCATTGGACAGTTAAGAGATCTGGGGCTCAGAGAGGTGAAGATACTTTCCCAAGGTCACACAGCAGTCTGGCCTCAGGCTGACTCCAGAGCGTGTGCTTTTAACTGCTATGCCTGGAAGTTGCCTTTTTAGAGTCTGAAGGTTCTGGACTCTGGAAGTGTTCAGGCTGTGTCTTAATTGAGCATCTCCCATATGCTGGGGTCCAGAGGGGCCATCCACCCAGCCTGCTCCTTCCCCCGTCCCAGGCTGGATCCCACCTGTGGTGGCCTCAGCATGGCTCAGCTCAGAGTCTGCTCCCAGAGGTGCCCATGAATGTTTGACCAACCAAACTGACTTGAGAACGAAGCCCCCTGTCGGCCGTGCAGCAGAGTGGCGACGGGGCAGCTTCTGAGCCAGGACTGCCTGATTTGAACGCAAGCCCTGCCACAATCGAGCTTTGTGACCTTGGGTTTGTCACTTGCCTGTGCTTTAAGTTCCCGTTTTGAAACAGGGGCTACCTCTCTCATGGGGTTGGGGTCAAATGATTTGACATAAGGAAGCACCTGCCCCCAGCGGGAGCCCTGAGGGTGCTTGCCATTCTACCCCTGGAAAGGTGGCTCCTCGGGGCCAGCCAGTGCTGGGCCCAGTGTGGCCTCGGGTTCTGGTCTTGGTGGGCAGGCAGAAACATAGGAGAAAAGGCCAGGTGGTGAGATGGACAGGACCCAGCATATACTTAGGAACTGTCTTAGGGTGCAAAAATCAAAACAAGACATGGCCCTTCAAAGTGGGCAGAGAGCTTGCTTAGGCAACCTGTACTCCTCCTGACAACAGTTCAGGGCTGTTTCTCTCTCACAGGCCCAGAAAAGGGTTCAGAGAGGTGGGGACACTTGCCCACGTTCGCACAGCTGGAACTGAAGCCAGCCTCCTAGCTTCCAGGCTCCAGTGCTTTGAGCCTGGAAGCTAGGAGGCTGGCTTCAGTTCCACCTGAATGACACAAGTCCATGCAAGAGGCTCAGTCAGGTTCAAGGGGCAGCTAGGACCCGATTTGTCTGGAACTTGGACATGGGAACTGTAGTGGGTGGCGTTGGGGTGAGCAGCTGGGCGGGAAGGTGTGGAAGTAGGTAGGCAGATCCTGGGAAAGAGATGCTGGGCTCTTCTTGGCTGTCCGGCCATTCCAGCTGCGCTGGATATGGAACATCAGCTTTGTCCAAGCCCCTGAAGGCAAGAAGCTTCTAGACCTTGTGTTCAGGGTCAGCGGCCACCTTCTGACCCAGGGCAGCCATGATTAAAGGATGTAGTCCCTGCCAAAACCGGTTTGGTTCAGTGGATAGAGCGTCGACCTGAGGCCTGAAAGGTCCCAAGTTCGATTCCGGTCAAGGGCATGTGCCTTGGTTGCGGGCACATCCCCAGTAGGGAGTGTGCAAGAGATAGCTGATTGATAATTCTCTCTCATCGATGTTTCTAGTTCTCTATCCCTCTCTCTTCCTCTCTGTAAAAAATCAATAAAATATATCTTTAAAAAATAAAAATAAATGAAAATAAAGGGTGTAGTCCCTACTACCGCTGCCTCTCACAGGGAATTCCTGGGCGGTCCCTATCTCCTGCGATGCTAACTTGACCCCTCTCATTCCAGGGACATTTCTTCTGCCAAGATCCGCTTTGCTAGGCGGCAGCGGGAGGCAACGAGGGAGACCAGGCCTACACACGCCAGGCAGCAGAAGAGATAGTGCTGGGCGCTGGAGAGACTCTGGGAAGGAAGCCCGTGTGGAGAGGGGAGGAGAAGGGCAGCCCAGGACAGGAGAGACTCCACCTGCTTCCTGGACCAGGAAGCCCGCCTGCTGGATGGGCACACGTTGTGGCCTCCTCGCCCTCGTGAGGGAGCCCCCTCAAGGCAGCTCTGAGCCCTCACACTGCCCCGCAACGCCTTCAGCTCCAGGCTGCAGCGCAGCCTCCCGCTCCGGCTCTGGTCCCACCTCCCTGCTGAAAAGGACTGCCCGGGAGGCCACGTCCTGAGAGGTGTCCTGTCTGTTGGCTACACGCCGGGAGCGACGCACAGTGATGGACGCGCACACCGAAGCCAGCCCGATGGCTGGTGTCCTCCCCTCCACCCCGGCCTTCATCTGTCCCCTCCAGCTCCCCCTCCCTCGGTCCTGTACCCTCAGACCCTCGGGACACTCCTGGTGAGAAGGGCCTGTTCTGCTTCACCTGTCTGTATATAACTTATTTGCTCTAAGAACTTGGAGAATTCCCATTATTTATTGTAATGTATTTTTTTTTTTAGACTTTCAGTCGTTTGCCTATAAACTTGTGTTTGAAATAAATGGTGAAATGTATTCTGGTATTGCTTTTTAAAAATATGTTGTTATTGATTTCAGAGAGGAAGGAAGAAGGAGAGAGAGAGAGAGAGAGAGAGAGAGAGAGAGAGAGAGAGAGAGAGAGAGAGAGAGAGAGAGAGAGAGACATCAATGATGAGAGAGAAACAGTGATTGGCTGCTTCCTGCGCGTCCCCTGCTGGGGATCGAACCCAAAACACAGGCATGTGCCTTGACTGGGAATCGAACGGTGACCTCCTGGTTCACAGGTCGATGCTCAGCCACTGAGCCACGCCGGCCAGACTGTACTCTGGCATTTCATCTTGGCTGAGGCAGGGGTGGCAGGCACCTCTTGGGAAGAGGCTGCTTGGAAGTTGGGGGACACACGAAGGGGGAGGAGGTGACCAGAGACCTGGGTTTCACTCCTTGTGCCCTTGCTGGGCATCTCTGGCTGCTAGCCCACCCTCTCTGGGCTTTTGCCTATCACGTGCCTGGACAGCCATTGGTAGCTTTGACATCCAGGATTCCAGGACCTACGTTCCCCTCAGACCAGTAACCAACCATGAGACAGCTTTTCCCAAGAACAGGCTTGGAAGGAGCCAAGACTCCCTTCTGCTCCAGCCTCCTGTGCCACCAGGGCCTGCTGGGAGCCCTAGGGCACGTCTCCCAGGTAGGGCTGCATGATGGATTCCACAGCTGCGTGCATCCTTGTGGGCAGTGGCCGATGCTAAGGCAGAGCCACTGCCTGGCCCTGGCCTTGCCCTTCACCTTGGGCCTTGCGTGGAGTCCCAGTAGAAGTGGCTCAACACTGCTCTGGCTGAAGGAGCCCAGAGCTCTAGGACTGGGTGGGCCAGAGAAGAAGCCCACCGGAGTTCCAGGGACAGCCAGCCACTAGGGCCGCCCCTGCTCGCAGATGCCTAGACCCCAGCCTCCATCTCTGCCAAATCCCCTCGTGAGCAGGCTGTCCCTTTCCTCCTGACTGGCCTCTGCTAGAAGTGGCCACTTGTGAGCTGAGCCAGCAACTGAAAAAGAATTATCTAGACACTGTTAACCCTGCCTTGTGCACGAAGCCATCCCCGACCCACTCCTGGGAGAACAACATGTTGACACACACTGAGCTCCTACTGCATACTGGCCCTTTACCCGGAGTAACTTGTTTCATCCTCACAACAACCCTATGACACCGGTACTTTGTGATTCCCACTTTACAGGTGAGGAAACTGATGCATAGAGGAGGCAACTGACTTGCCTAAGGTCACACAGCAAGTAAGTGGTGGCATCAGGATTTGAACTATCACACATACATATGTATGTATTTAATAAATATTTATTGATTGAATTCATGGTTCACTGCTATATATAACCTTGTCATCTTTGTCTCTTTTGGAGCCTCAGTTTTATTTTATTTTTTTAAATATTGTATTGACTTTTTTACAGAGAGGAAGAGAGGGGGATAGAGAGTTAGAAACATTGATGAGAGAGAAATATCAATCAGCTGCCTCCTGCACACCCCCTACTGGGAATGTGCCCGAAACCAAGGTACATGGCCTTGACTGGAATCGAACCTGGGACCCGTTAGTCAGCAAGCCGACTCTCTATCCACTGAGCCAAACCAGTTAGGGCTTATTTTGTTTTTAAGAGTGTAAAATGGCAAACAATAGTCCCTACCTTGCAGGACTGGTATGAATACTAAGCAGTTAAGTTCCAGTGCTGGGCTCACAGCAGGCCTGCTGAGGGGCAAACCAATGAAAGGCCTGAGAGGAGAGAGCCTGGGGCTGGTTGGGGGCAAGAGCAGTGGTCAGAGAAAGACTCCTGGACAAAGGCTACTCCCATAGCCTCAGTGGTTGTAAATAAAATAAAACTGAGGCTCTGAGAGAGACTTGTTCAAGGTTATATGCAGTAGTGATTCATGAGTTCAATCAATAAATATTTATCAAATACATACATACGTTTGTATGATAGACTCAGTTCAAATCCTGATGCCACCACTCACTTGCTGTGACCTTTTGAGTAAGGTCACAACCTTACTAAAATCACTTACTGAGTCTTGGCTCCTTCCAAGCCTGCTCTTGGGAAAAGCTGGCTCGGGGTTGGTTACTGGTCTGAGGGGAACGTAGGTCCTGGAATCCTGGATGTCAAAGCAGCAAATGGCTGTCCAGGCACGTGATAGGCAATAGGAGTAGCCTCCAAAGATGAGTAAGGCCCGGCTGGCGTGGCTCAGTGGTTGAGCCTCGACCTATGAACCAGAAAGTCATGGTTTGATTCCCGGTCAGGGCACGTGTCTGGGTTGCACGTGTGGGGAGCGCAGGAAGCAACCAATCAACAGTTCTCTCTCATTGCTGATGTTTCTCCCTCTCTCCTCCCTCTCCCTTCCGCTCTGAAATCAATAAAAATATTTTTTTTAAAAGATGAGTAAGACTCAAGTAAATAGCAAGGAAATCAGGAAAGAACTCCAGACAGAGGGAACAGGAAGGGTGAAGGTATGGCAGGGGATGACAAAGGTCATGGTCTCTTGTGGGCCATGGGAAGCCACCAAAGGCCTGTGAGCACAGACCTGATCGGCGAGGGCCTTTGGCAATATGCCACCAGAGGGTCACACAGGGCAGGAGTGAATGCGGAGACAGGAGGCAGCCTTAGGGGTCCATGGTGCATCCTGGGTGGTGAGGGTGGTGTACTGAGGCTCAGCCCAGACACTTCCTACCACAGCCCAGGACCAGAGCACAGCTCTCAACTCTCAGAAGAGCCTGATGCCCGGGAACTTCACTCCCTGGCAGCCCAGCAGCCTAGCAGCCCATTCAAAATCACCTGCCCCCATTGGGAGCCCAACATAACAGCCAACGGCCAGGCGGGCCTCTGAGTGGGACAAGCCCAGGTGGCAGGTGCGATGGAAGCCTGGCAGAGGGATGACAAGGTCCTGGTGGAGGGTGTGGCGGAGGCCCAGGGAAACAGGCATTCATGCCCTTGGCAAAGGCACCAGTGGCCCCGGCCAGAGTTCATAGATCAGCGGCCCACAGATTAAATAACAGAGATGATTAAAGGGAGGAGAGAGGCCCAGGAAGCAGGTAAAGGCGAGGTGATACCGCAGTGCCCTGGCAAGGGGGCCTCTGGGGCCGGCACAGCAGGTGGTCCTGTTCTGGCTCCCTTGGTCCTACCTCTCTCCACCGGGTGAGGAGTTTGCAGGGCCGCGGGTCCCATGCACCCAAAGTCTGTGCCTGCTTCTAGACCACATCCAGGCAGTCAGACCCTGGAGGTTGGGGGAGGTGGGGAGAAGAAGGAAGAGGGAGAGCTTGGAAGAAGCGGAGAGAAATTTGTGAGAAGCAGCTGCCAAGTGGAATGGAACCCTGGGAGGAAAGGTGTCAACATTTCAGGAAGTTTGTCTGGATTTTGTGGGACAAGGTCTCCCCTTTTCCTGCTTTCTTCTGCCTTTCCCATAAATGTGTAACGGGTTTGATCAAGGCTTTTGAGTCAAGTTGGTGTTCATTTTGGTGGGAACACCAGGCAAAGACAGGCCGGAGGGACATAGAATGAGCAAGATTTATTGGGGTTACGTACACAGATGGGAGCTGAGGCCGAGTTGGGTCCACATCTGGGGCTCCCAGGCCTGATACATATCCAGGCTGCAGACCGGCCCGGCCCTCCCTGGCTGCCTCTGCCCAACACCTCACTCAGGAGAGAGCCCCAAGGAATTAATCTCTCTCTCTCTCTCTCTCTCTCTCTCTCTCTCTCTCTCTCTCTCTCTCTCTCTCAGATCTTTGGTGGCTTCCCATGGCCCACAAGAGAAAGTCCTCAGAGCCCCTCCATCTTCACTCCTGCTGTCCCCCCTCACCATGCTCCACATGGGGTCCTCTGTGCGAACGTCCTTTGTCAGCCCCTGCCATACCTTCACTCCTCCCGTTCCTTCTGTCTGGAGTTCCTTCCTGATTTCCTTGTTATTTGCTTGAGTCTTACTCATCTTTAAAATATTTTTATTGATTTCAGAGCGGAATGGAGAGGGAGAAGAGAGGGAGAAACATCAGTGATGAGAGAGAACTGTTGATCGGTTGCTTCCGCACTCCCCACACCCGGGATTGAGCCAGCAACCTAGTCACGTGCCCTGACCGGGAGTCAAACCATGACCTCCTGGTTCATAGGTTGAGGTTCAACCACTGAGCCACGCCAGCCGGGCCTTACTCATCCTTTGAGGCTATAGGGGTAGCCTTTGTCCAGGAGTCTTTCTCAGACCACCACTCTTGCTGCCCTCAGGCTCTTGGTGATTCCCACTTTACGGATGAGGAAACTGATGCATAGACAAGGCGGTGGTTATTTGCAGTGGTGATCCATGAACTCAATCAATAAATATGCGGAGCCTCAGTTTTATTTATTTAAATATTTATTACATACATACATACGTACGTATGACAGACTCAGTTCACACAGTAGACACATACTGAATTCCTACTGCTTACTGGCACTGTGGGACCTTAGGCAAGGTTCAGGATTTTTTCACTTTAGAAAAGTCACTTGCCCATCAGGGCAATAAATCATTGAAATGTGGCCACCTGCCCATTCAACAATTATGAATAATAACCTCTCTGGAGAGTCTTGGGAGCAAGAAAGACACAGCCCCTGCCCTCGAAAGTCAAGAGGAAAACACTGTGAAATTAACTATGAAGATGAAGGTAACAGCTAACATGTATGGAGCGCTCACTAAATGCTCTCTGCATATGAATTCCTCGGCTCCTCACAGCGACCAATCATGCAACAGTTGCTAGCATTGTTATTCCCACTTTAAAGACCTAACAAGAGGTTAACTTGCTCAGAGCTACACTGCTAGGAGGTGCCTGAGGTGGAGTTAGACCTCAGACTAGCTTGGTAGCTGCTCTGATAAAGCACATCCACCCAGTGATAGAGCTCCCAGGGTGGGGGACCCAGGCTGGCTTCCTGAAGGAGGAGGCATCCAGGCCAAGCACGAGGGCACCAGTCACGTGAAGGAGAAGGGTGACAGAGAGCGTTCCAGGCAGAGGGAACTGCAGGGGTGAAGG